AGGGGGCCATCCAGAATGGCATGCCAGTCCATCACAGGGCAGGGGGCCATCCTGAATGGCATGCCAGTCCGTCACAGGGCGGGGGACCATCCAAAATGGTATGCCAGTCCATCACAGGGCAGGGGGCCATCCAGAATGGCATGCCAGTCCATCACAGGGCGGGGGGGGCATCCAAAATGGTATGCCAGTCCATCACAGAGCACGCATCCAAACAAAGGGCAATTTAGAAAGCCAAATTTACCTAAGCGCATGCACATTGACCGTGGAATTCCTAGAGCAATCCTGTATGAACACAGAGAACACAATAGATCCACACACACGCGCGCGCACACACACACACGCACACAGGTAAGGGCAGGAAACAATTTGACCGCCCTGTAAGTGTTATGAATGCTACATAGTTACTGATTATATTCCTTCTGTGACGTCGGCCAGTCAGCTTTAGTGGTATCTTAATGGTGCAGCTTCTTGTTTAAATTGACTGACAATTCAACATTACTAACAGTTCAACATAAGTCAGGTCAGGTCACAGGTCGGGGAGCGTGTACTGGTACAGCGCACTGCCACACCCACCACATGACCGAACAGTCGGGATCCCAGTTGGCAACCCCCCAGGCCACCACACAGTCCAGTTCAACACTCCGAAAATGGTCGTCTTATCTGCTGCAGCTCCTCGGCCTGGAACAGCTGCCTGGGTCCTCAGCAATGAGGATCCTGCAAAGCGGATCACCCTCAGTGAATCGCGCCGCACTCTGAAGAGACACGGTACCAAAGGAGTCCAGTCTTCGTCTCAGCTTACTGGGTAGCATCCATGTCTCACAGCCATACAGCAAGACAGGGAGCACCAGGACTCTAAAGACCTGGACCGTCATCCTCTTACAAAAATATTGGAGCGCCACACACCCCTTTCCATGTCCTCATGACCCCCCCATCCCCATTCTCTCCCAATCCATCTACTGACTTCATAGGAAGAGTCAACCTTCAACATAGTTCTCTATTCAAAAAAAAAAAAAATGCTTCACTAACGTCATGTTAAATAGATAGCAGACATACCATGAAAGCTGACAGCTCACTGACCTTTCAAGTACCTTTCATATTGTCATATTTGACATCACTGGCACTGCACAGCATTTGAAGTATTCAAATGTAAATGTAGGTAAACAGTCATGACAATTATAGAGGTCATCAAGTACTAACAACGTTAAGGCAGTGGGCTGAAATCCCAGGGAGCACAAGTAAATTGTATGTTGCTTCAGATAAAAGGATGAACTAATGTATAATAAGCAGCGGCAGCACAGTGGCACTGACGCCTCACACTTCTGGGACCAGGGTTCGAGCCTCCACTATGGATCCATGTGTATGGGGTTTGTATGTTCTTGCCGTGTTGTCGTGCAGGTGTGTGTTAGGTGTGTGTGTGTGTTGGTGCCCAGCAGTGGGTTGGTAGCTTGGGAAGATTATAAATGGCTGCATTATACAGAGAGGGGCCTAAAAGAAGCTGTAAGTGCATGGCCAGTTATTCGTGTTGGTATGTTGTGTCGCCTCTTTCCAGAGGCTGACTCATAATCCGGTGTCACCATATGATGATGCCAGAAATTCTCAAAACAGCTGTTAACATTCACGATGCTCACAACTGCAACAGGAAATTCACACATGCATCTGTTTGGAATAAAATCTCTAATGTAACACTAGGCTGGACAGCTCTGTCAAAAGCCAACAATTTACACGCAATATCATTTTCACACTGCACAGAGCCTCAGAGTACAGCAAATGATATAAGGGCAAACAGCACATCACAGAGAAACGGCCGTGTTAAAGGCAGATCAGAAGGACGGGACACATTCATGCTAACAAGATGTCTAATCCACTTATTTCCAGACACAAAGTCAGCCTGATGAGGTTCTAGAAGATGGTGACAGCCGATGACACAACGTGACAGCTAATCTGTGCCTATTCACAGTACAGTCATCGACATGCTTGCTGTGATGGGTGCTTACTGAAATGCTTCTCATTTACAGCAAATTAAAAAAAATGGCTTGTGAAATGCAAAACACATTAGTCAAAAACCAATAAATGAGCGGGTTACTTAAAACTGTAGTTCAATAAAAGATCAAAGGGTTACAGGTAATATATAAGGCAGGAATAAACAGAAAGTATATTCATTTAGTGGTGATACACCAGCCACGTAATCTGCCATACGTGAGCATGAATGACTCAACTTTTGTTTAACTAACAATAGACAGCTCTCCCCCAAAGATGCAGATATGAACAACATGCCTGACTTTGCTGGAATTTTCCAGAAGTGAGACATCTACTTCAGATAAGTCTGCTTCTGAAAAATCCCCAACATGGAAACAGTCAGGAATCCATTTTCTTTGTGTTCTAGTGCCATCTGATAATTCTGGAGTACTTATTTCTAATTATTAATTTTGCTATATTTCTTTAGCAAATAAAGACTTAATTTTACATATAGGCAATAAATGCAAGTAGTATTAAGTTTTACATAAAATATTCTGATTATTACTGTCAGAATATCGTTCTTGTTAGTAAATTATGCAAATGGAAAAAGTAAGCAATGTATAGAGGCAAATGTCCAAGCACTAGTTTTGCAATAAATAAGTAATTAAGAATGACTGTTACTGTAGCGTAACCTGGATCACTACCATAGTTACTTCAGAGTAAACTGAACAAAAAATAGTTTCAAAGGGCCATTTGTGCAGCCATTTTCTGTCACCCAATTATCCGTTTGCATTGGGCAACGCGTTTCAGACTCCGAGGCTCTGACAACAACAGCACGATCTTCACATAAATGATGGTACTGCTGAAATGCATTGTGGTGTAAGTGCAGTTACTCCAGTATCAGAACAAACAAGTTCATTTGCACAAATTACCAGGAATAAAACATTATAGTAAGTCTCCTGAGACAGAAGCTCATAGCAATTATGTATTACAGTCCTGCAGTTGGTCCACACGCCTGAGTCAGCAGTGACTGCTTCACATACGGCCTTTATTTATAGGTTTATGCAGATCTCACTTACGTATAAAAGCAAAACACACTCAGAGGTTTCTCCGTGTCGCTCTCATAAACATGTAACGTGCACCGATGGCAATTAAAGGAACGGTCCATCAGCAATCTACTGGAAGCTGCGATAAAATCATTTGCCGCAGAACAACGTCTCTGTGAGATCACATAGCAGGGATGCTTCATGTTGAAGCTATTCCGGCAAAGGCGGGTGCAGACCGGACATTTTTTAGTGTGTATAATAAAACTTCATGGTAAGTTCATAACTGTGAAATTACAGCAGTCGAATAACCTTCATTTGCTAGCTCCATCATAATAGGCTTCGTGACCAGAGAGCGTTCCGGCCCTAGTTAGAGCAAAACCACACCAGAACCAGACAAAAGACAAGCAAAGATGTATTAAAAGTGCTGTAATAAAAATAAAAAAAACCCAAGTCCTAACTCATATACATTACTATTACTACAAACCCAGCATCATCATCATCATCATCATCATCATCATCATCAGGTTTCCTACTTACCTTTATGGCCCATCATGACAGCAAGATGAAGCGGCGTATTTCCTGAGGCAGAAACAGACAACAAACAATCAGGTAACTTGATTATTTATCACCCCTCCCCCATCATTTTACAGGTATACTTTTAAAAACTTCCCCTCAGCTACCCCTGATCACATTAACTCCACCAGAAAGGCACAGACAGGGCACAGAGTTGGCTCTTTCATAGTTATACAGAGTTACACCTATACTGGCTGTACCTTATTGATTGGGCTTTCTGCAGCACTGACCTGTAGCCTGCTCCTGGGACTACCGCTGACATTGTTCTGGGATACTAGTGTCAGGACCGGATCTGTTCATTTGTTTACCACTTCCTGTAATGCACACCATCTGGTTCAGGCTACGAGCTCCATTAAAACCATAAGCCGCTACTTCAAGCCAAGTTTAGAATGACTTTCTGAAGAATAATACTATAGGGATACAAAGCTTCTCCAAAAGATCTGCATTGAAATAGACAAGGAGGCTGCGTGCCAGCAGTCCTGCAGGTATCAAGCCTGACATGCTGCCAGAGGCACCTTGTCTTTCTGCGTCAGCCAGCCTCCTCTGCACTGCTTTGTTCCTCTCCTTCTCTAAGTTAGACCTTCATTGGGCGAGGGAAGAGAAATGCATCCATGAAAAATCCACGCAAATTCAATTCCAGAAGCAAAGCGCCTGTGTCATTTCAGCTACACTGAGCGATCGGATCACTGAAGGTAAACCAAAGGGCACCTATGGAAGCACGGACCAGGCTTCATGGCAAGACTATGAGGAGGACAAATTATGAAAAATGCTAGACTCAAAAAAGATCTGGATCCATCCACTTCCCATAACTGCTTATCTGTCCCTCCATTTGCCATAACGGCTAAGGTAGCACAGGGATGCGGAAAGCATGGAGCCTATCCCAGGACGCATTTGGCAGGGGACACCGTAGGGGAATGCCAGAGCAGTGGATTAGCAATTAGGCAATCAATCAGAACTCATTACCTAACACTCCCCTCCCTCTAGCATACAAAAAAGCAGCCATTACTTATTTACTAAACTTTCATTTATCGGGTCTAATGTGGTAGAATAGGTAACAGACGCAGGGTAAAGCTGTGAATCAGAAGCAATGCTTCGCTAGTATAGAAATACCACCCGTGCACGCTACCCTGAGAGCAAACGGTGCGTATAAAGGAAGGATCATTAATTATCTACGTCGCAGCAAAGCGATGTGTCATGCTGTTTTGACCGGTGATGCCACATGTGCCGACCTTGGCTCATTCCTCCAGCAAGCTTAGCGAGGATCTTTAGATCAGCGATATTCACACGAAAGATGGGGATGCCCAGGGGATGCCGACAGGAACCGAAATCAAAGTAGCTTTTCTAGGGAGACACACAAACTGACATCAAGTGTAAGCTACGTATAACTCATCTCTATCACCAGCCGTATTCATATCTATTCTGCCAGTGTTCCATCAACACTTAGACAATAGATAAGTGTTCCTAGTTGAGGAAGGCAGCGTAAACTAGTCAAAATACTTACATTATTACTGTTAAAGCATATCTGCTCAGTGCAACAGGAAACCCACTGACCTATACACTTATGCCAGAAATTATCCATCTGTACATGCTGCTATTTTATGGTTATGCTTTTATTTACATGCATGACAAAAGAAGCTGGAAATCAGTTTTCGGTTGCGCATAAAAAAAAAAAACAGATTTCCTGGTTCTGGAACTTCCACTCTCTGCCTTTCATTCTTTAACTTCTCAGAATGGATCGTTCTATACAGACCAGAGGCTCTCAGACATCGGCATAGACCGGTGGCAGCAAAGTGCCCATTGAAGCAGCCTTAGACTGTCGTGCTGATCTGCCTCCGCCTTCCTACACAAACCACACTACACTAGAAACCTAGATGCTTAAAAAAAGCTCCTCTCTGCTCCACCACAGTGTCCAGTCCTGACTCGACCTGCTCTCATGAAGCTTGAATAAGTTAAAGGTCCCACTAATTTAAGAAGAATAAGGTCAAAACATACAGGGTGCTCATCTGCAACAAAAGCAAGGCTCGTACTGTTGGGCGGTATGACCAAAAAAATCGGATCACAGTATTTTTTTAAGACTGTGGCGGTTTCATAGCATATGAGTTTTTTTCTTTCGAGTTCACCCTTAATGGAGCAGCAAGCGTTTATATCAATATGTTTACGAATGTTTTTTAAAAAGTTGTGTTTTTAATAATTATTATAAAAAAATCATTTACATGTAGCTTGATAATCTAATACATGTTGGTTATACTATTAATGTATATTCAGCTCAATAGTGACATACTTTATTGATTATAACCATATATTTAGGTTGATAAAAACATGTTTGCTTAACCGGCATGATTTTAACAATTATTACCAAGATAAATGGATAACATTAGGGATTTTGCTGTTCTTATGCCTATAATTGCAGACCTAATTATACTGCACTTAACCCAAACTTTCAAGCACAGACAGAAGCAGCAGCTATAAATAGAGGAGTACCTGCAGAATTGTGTTATAAAGTTATAACTGATAATAAGGAGGATATACAGTTAACAGGGGTCCCCTCTCAATACGTTATGCAAAGAGAGTCAAAGAGAAAAACACGGAAAATTCAAACCGGTATAGCGGCTTGTATTCAAAATGACTTATGATTGAGAAACATGGCCAGCCAGTGCCTGAGGCAGAGGGGGTCAAGGCCCAATGCTGACATCACTCTGCTGCCCAGATGGTTTGAACCACTGCCTTCCTGATCAGTCTTAACCTCCAGAGCCACACACTGCCCACCTCCCCCACACGGCCCACTGCCATTCATTGGTTCAATGCGGTTGGGTGAAACCCCCATGGGTAGTAAACCACCTCAGATTTATTTCAAACATATTTCTACCTCACCTACAGCACCTGCACTGTATTCTATGTTTATCATGTATTTATTAGTTTGCTGATTATTTCTCTGATGGTGTATTGTGCTAGGAACTACTTTTGTAAGGCTGCTGGATAATAAAAATCCCCGTCAGGGAAAAATAAATCTTTTCTTCATCCTATTAACAACTGGTAAGGTGAGGCTTTGTGGGGTAAAACCTGACATTTAAACGTTTTTTTTTTTTATATAAATATCACACAATTCCATCAGCTGGGAGTGCCAGATTCCTCCTATGGGCAAATTCTATACGCCACCAGCTGCCAAGAAAACATGCATTCAAGAAATGCGTTCATTACAAAGAAAATAAAAGAAAATAAAACTAAATGACTAGCTTCTCGTTTAACAAGTCTGCTCACACAAGGGAACAATGTTATTGCAATCCAGTGATGATTGGTTGAGCCAATGGCAAAAGCAGGTATAAAAATTGGCAAATATTAATTCATAAATGAGCCACATAGCTAACCTAAAAACCCAGGAGTAACTTAACAGAGTAAAATCATTCTTTTTATGAAGATGCTAATTGTGTTTTCTGACATGATGTGAAACATCAGTTTCCCATATATGGAAGTTATCATTATTCACTTCAAGTTTTTGCTTTGTACATTGTCTCCAAAATTAAAAATCCCTCACTAACATAGTGGAAAGTGTGCTTTGAGGGTTGATTACCATAATTATATGGTTACACTTCAGATTTTGATGTGCTTGACGGTTATCAGCCAGAAGATAAAGGATGTGTTTCTGCATCCAGAAGGTCACGAGTTTAAATCCTGCTGAGGGTAAAGTAATTATGTGGCCGTTGGGCACTTGAGCCCACAGCCTGTATGATTTGTTTGTAGATGATCTGTGGGCCAGAGACCTTTGAGAAGCACAAAGATTCAACAAACAGGTGTTTCTCATCTATTTATATCAGAAGGTAATTTTATGACTCCTATTTAGGAGTCATAAAAGGTTTGTCCAAATATGTCATTATACAAGCAGTCTCCAGGCTACAAATCAGATGTGCTCCCCGTCTGCCTTTAAGTTTGTAGGCAAGTACATATTAATAATAAAAATAATAATATGCTGACAAACCGCTGAAGCCACTCAATGGTTCCATGAGTGTCAAAAAGTAATGCATGCATTCGTTATTACTAACCATTGTATTTAACCCGGATTTTATGGCAGTCCGTTCATAAGTTGTCTAAGTTGGACGTGCTTAATCAGGGGACTGCCTGTATACGAATTAATTAATTTGTTAAATAGATATGCAACAATTTCAGCTGTTGTTACTCAACTCAGTGGTAAGTTTATTAGGAGCGCCTGCTTGCTAATGCCAACAGCCTGCTGCTACAAACAGTGAATTGCGTGACTGCTGTTGAATACATACAGCACACAGACAAGATCTCGAGGTTCATTTACTGTTTGGCTGAGCCTTAGAATGGCTTAGATGCCTGATGTCGTGCGTGTTTCCCAAAAGCATAGCTGCTAACTATGTTAGCAACTTACAAACTGGAAACAGGAAACTGAATGGGTCCAACTAATAACTATATACGATGCTAAAGGAAACTTTTGGGTAATGCACCCTACAGTGTGTTCCTTTTGGTCGCAGCATCTCACAAACAGCAAACTTTTTGGAAATTTCACACATTACAGTATCTACAGTTTACAGAGAATGGTGCACAGATTAAAAGATAGCAAGGGAACGTGATTTCTGTGGCTGAAAATACCTTATTAAAGAGGGAGATCAGTGGAAAATGGCCAAACTGGGTAAAGCTAACACAAATGAAAAATACTGTAATAGCTCTGTACCACAGTGATGTACAGAGGCTTCTCTGAACGCCCAGCTCATTTACATTTGAAGTGATTTTGGAGGCAAAAGGAAGTCCTACCCACTACTAGATATCTACCAAGGGTTTGAGAGTAACGTAATTTCAGTTCTCTGTGTTCTGTACATGTGGCAGAATTGACAATAAAGCTGACTTTGACATGTGTACCTAATAAGGTGGTCGTAAAAACTGAGCCAGCTGACCCATTGGATGATGACTGCTGAACAAGAACAATAATCTGTGAGAAAATAATTACAATAAACAATAACTGTAGTTCTTAGGCAAAATAAGTTGAGAATAAACATCATTTGTGGAATCCATTAGCATGTGCTTTTTTTGAACAACTTAATTTACTTTGCTTGCTATGTGTTACTGTCCAAAAAGGAATTTCAATCATTCATTTATTAGAAAAACCAGTTGAAACTGGTCAAAACTGAAGTTTTGATGAGCTGTATTTCAGCAATGCAAATTATGAACACTTCAATTACTTCAGGGTCTAGATGGAATGACACAGACACTATTAAACATTGAGGAGTATAAAGACTTTGATAGACAACAGATATAAATATTGTCAACATATCCTAGACAGCATGATTAAATATTTTGCTCTTGGATTGCCAAGATGTATGTAGCAATACATGAGTTTTACAAGCATGCTGGAATGGGCATTGCACAGCCTACCTCTGCTTTACTCTGATGTGATGCATCACCGAAAACATATATTCAACAACAAAAAATAGCACTAACCTTAGCTTTGTGTTGAGATTTTTAATAGATGGATTTGTCTGATGTACAGATGTTGCAGCTAAACAAAAAAAAATTAAAGAGGACTGCAGGAAAGAGGTTTGTCAGCAAGGTGGAAATCTGCTGGTCTAATCTAGACGGCGGGGAGCTGAATGGGATGCGCTGCGGCCCTGCATCTCCAGAGCTGTGGGCTGGAGCCCCCGTCAGCATTTTGCATGCGTGGCATTTCAATGGTCTCCCTGTGTTGTGCGACTTTCCTCCAGATTCTCTATTTTCATCGCACAGACATGCAGTTTGGATAATTAGTGTGTCTGGGGTGGTTCTACGGGTTAGGAATCTATACTAATGACTGCAAGGTCGCTGGTTCGAATCTCGTGGCTAACAGAGCAATCATATCGTTTAGCCCTTGAACCATGTCCTAAATCCCAAAAACTGTCTGACCTTGCACTCCGGCCTCAAGCTTTGCTCTCTCATAGGGCAAAACTGGGTGTGAAAACTGAGTAATTTCTAGGCAATTATGCTTATGCAATGGTAAGTAAAATATCATTACAGACTGCCCAAAATCCTGCAATAGACTGTCATCCCATCCAGGGTGTACCTCAGGCTTGTGTCTTGTGTAGCCTGGGATAGGAACCTTGACCAAGATAAGTAGTTAAAGGATGGATAATCTATATGATTACAAGTATCACCATTGAAATCTAGTACATACATTTACTAAAACAGTTCAGGAAGCGAAATGAAACTTAGAAACCAGGAATTGCTTGGTGCTCTATAGATGGTACACAGGATTGATAGCAAGCAAATACGGTCAATAATGGCATTCTAAAAATGACTGAAAGAAAATGTGTGCCTTAATAGGCCAGTAACAGCAGTGACATACCTGCATTATAGAAAAAGTTATGAATTTATGAGAAATCACACATCATAAATCATTCAGGAAGAACGTCACAGATAAACACAAATGGACACTTGTGACTAACAAACTTAGTGCTAATGCATTACTGGATGCATGATTTTCTGTAAAGTTCTGACATGATTACAGGTAAAGTAAGTTTTATGATTTAACATGTTTTTACAGACATACAAATTACATTTCCTTACATTTCGCTGTAGATTATAGCAAAATGCAAAACGGAACTCAAATATTTTACTCATGTCCTTTAATGATTAATTTACATTTTACTCTGCTGAAAAATATATAGTGCAGTTTTATTAATGGTCTGCTGTGAGAACATTCAAACTGTGCTACTGTGTAAACACCACAGCAAAATGTGAGCGCAGTACAGTCCAGCCATAACTCAACTTTGATTTGAAGAACTTGAAACATCATCAAACTTCATGCTGCACCTGAATTCAGCATTATATTATTCATAAATAAGGAAGGCACAAATACATTTCAAATTACAACGTGGAAATTAACAAGGCAAACACCACCAAGTAAATGTGCTCTCATGAGCAAAATAGGATATAATCACATTATTCTATTCATCAATGTGTGTTTAGTGTGGTCTACATTTTTATTTGGTGGTAATGACATCTGATTAAAATTAAAACACTTAAGAACAGGCAAGGGCATCTTGCCTCAAAAAGGCATCAGAGGCTATTTCACTGGCCTGGGTACAGCGATCTCTGAACTATATTTCTGGTGTCACCATCTGCCAGGCATCAGGAACGAACTTTCAATTGCTCCTTCTTCACTGGCCCCCATAAAGTATCGATTATTATTATTATAATAAAGAGCAATGCTGGACCAAGTTGCCGTTAAGAAAATCCGTCCACCATAACAACCCCCCCCCCCCCGAAAAAAACCTAACAAAAAAAAAACCCAAAACGGACACATGCCAGCTTGTCGCTGGGCTGCTGTCACGAATACTAAATCGGTGGGAAATCGGAACACAAGCACACAGACAGACATCCCCTATTTGCTGTGCGGCCAGCAGGAAACGGGCTGAAATTTAAAGTGACTGAACACGTGCGGACTCATGGCGGGCAGCCATCCCGGCACCCTGACATGACCCACGCCTCTTCACATGGGGAGATGCGCTCTTTTCTTCCATGCCGCACAGCTTTACTTCAGTTGCTGGGACAAATGATTGTTTCCCCCAACTCACTGCATTTTCTCATATATCTTGTCTAATAATCACCTCATCTGTCAGGGAATGACAAAATACAGAAGTGACTAACGCACATTCACCGTTTCTTTGCAGCCGTGTTTTTATTTCCATATATTGTATAATGGAGGTGAGAGTTGGTGACAAGAAAAGCATGTTACATCTAATCCTAACCGTTAACTGGTTTAGTTCACCGCGATCGGACTCCCTGCCGAGTAGATGACTCGCCCCGCAGGCTGATCTGGCGTGTGAGCTGTGACCTACCATGGATGTCTTTCTGGGCGATGCTCTGAGTGCGGATCAGCGACGAAAGGCGGCGCACATCGCCTCTGAACACGCATTCGTGCACTGGGAAAAACCCGCCGGCGTGGATAACGCTGTTGCGGTTGTTGTCATCGGTAGCAGTTTTCGTGTTGGCGTTGCTCTGCGACTGCAGGCTCTGCTGTTCCGACGGCGATCGCACCAGCTTGTGGTTGCTGAATATCTTGCTGCCTTTGACTTTCGTTCGGTTGGACGTGCTGAAGGCTCCCGCAGCCGCCTCCTCATCCTGATCCAGTAAGTCCCGGTCCTTGGACGGCCTGCTGTCCTTACGCAGCGAGCGGATCTTTTCCCCCGTCATTCCCAAAGCGTGTCTGAGGTGCGAAGAGCTCCTAACGATCCTGAGGAGACTGACGCCAAGTGATGAGGCCAGCGGCTATGGGGAATCCGATAACATACAAAAACAAGTCCATGAAACCGCTGCGCCCATCGACTTTAACATATGGTACTGAGATCTAGTATGTTCCTCCCCACTATATACAACCGGACCCGATGTCTCTCGAGCGACGCCGTGCCCACGTTTACTGCTCGCTCAGGAGCGCATCCTTCGCGTCGCGAAGAGACACGACCGCCATCTTGCGGCCGGAATCTCGCGAGAATTCAGCCTCGAAAGCGCTTTGAAGGGGCATAAATGTTAATATCGCGATAATTCCAGAAACGCTACGGCCTTCGGTTACCGCTTGTTGGCCTTTTAAACTTTAAGCTTATAGAATAACAGGTAAAATCTCTGTTCTTGTAACTCTTATTTATCATGTGTACAGTATGATAGAAGCAACTGTACATTGAAATGGGTAAGACTCAAGAAATCCACACACAAAGACACAGAATAGAAATAAGAGGTAGTGAATAAAGTAAGAAAAAAAAATACATATGTATATAAATGCATCCTTTGCTACCGGCGAACATGATCTACATAATCATAAACAATATACTCAGGGATTGTATTTAACAGCAGAGACATTCAACTGAGTGCACATGAACTGCCGTCGGTTTACCAGTGGTCATTTACCGGCTAAATAGCTGCGTTAAGGAAGAATGTGCAGAAGCCGGATTGTTCGCGGTACGCTGATGCCCTCTGCTGGTCTATTAAAAAGACACTCTTTGCTGCAAGTGCCACTCTGGGCGCGGGTATGTACAAAAACGTAGAAAATTTAGGGTAAGATGGGGGCGGTTGACAAGATGGACAGTTTCAACATTTCAGAAACACCCCATGAACTATTAAACTGCATGCTCATTTGGCCCCTCTTCCCAATAGCAATAAGGCAGCCATTTGTAACCTTTCCATCAATATGAAAACAATTTTCATTATCGGAGCTTTTGTCATACTGTCCTGATTGTGCATTAAAGATCTAATCTTACAACCGTTAAATCTTTTTTTTTTTCTTTTAAATGGCTTAGCTGATACCTGGCAGATGAAATTTTATGCAGAAAAATGTAAGGTAATCCATGAAGGGAGCAGAAATATAAAGTACAGATAGATTATGGGTTCCGCTGAAACAAAGGAAGCTGATTATGAAAAAGACCTTGGTGTTTATGTTGATGCTTCCATATCCTACTCTCACCAGTGTGGGGAAGCAATTAAAAAGGCCAATAGGATGTTTGGTTACATCTCTATGTGTGTGAAGTTTATGTCAAGGGAGGTGATGCTACGATTATACAATTCCTTGGTAAGACCCCACCTAGAATATTGTGTGCAGGTTTGGTCACCATTCCTTAAAAAGGACATTGCTGCCTCAGAAATGGTTCAGCGTAGGGCTACAAGAATGATTCCTGGTCTTAGGAGAATGTGTTATGAGGAGAGGTTAGCCGAGCTGAATCTGTTCAGCCTCGAGCAAAGGAGACTAGGAGGGGACATGATCCAGGTATATACGATTCTAACAGGTCTGGATGCTGTTTAACCAAATACTTCCATCAATACTGGTTCAAATACAAGAACTCATGGCCATAGGTGGATATGCACTTCTTTACACAGCGTGTAGTTAGATTATGGAATAGTCTTCCTGCTAGTGTAGTGCAAGCTAAAACCCTGGGTTCCTTTAAATCAGAGCTAGATAAAATTTTAACAGCTTTAAACTATTAGTGGAAATCTTCCTAAACAAGCTTGATGGGCCAAATGGCCTCCTCTTGTTTGCGAATTCCTTATCTTTTTATGTTCTAATTGTGTCTAGCTAATATTAGTTTTATCATGGCTGGTGGGAACGCAGATATTTGCAACAAAAAATGAAGAACTTGACTTGCGTCTGTAGCTGCCGGGGCTCCGGACCCCCAGCGACCCTGTATAGGACTAGTGGATTCAGAAAATGGATGGATGGAATGAACATGGAAAAGATAGATTCACGAACAGAGGAGGACATCTGCATTAATAGCCTGGAGAGTTACTCTTAGCCAAAAGAGTTATGGCTGCAATGCTTCCAGTGGGGTCACCAGGCATGGACTAAGGTAAGGGAGATGCAGCTTATAGTTCCCATAATTCCCATAATTGTAAGTCACATTCACACTAAACCTCCTCCCCCAATATTGATCAGTTGTGTTTAAGTGTTTAAAAAACTTGCCAAATTTCACGCCATTAAAAAAATGTAACAAAGCTTTTCTGGATGTTCCATTGTTATCAATTTCCAGGTCTTTGAAGAAAACAAAATTCTAGTTCAAATCTATCGTCCCCCTTCAATAAAAGGTTGAATGTTGTTCTTACACTGAGAATTGTTGTTCTATTACTGAAACATGGTAAGATTAATTGCCTGCCCATAAACATATGTGCAGTGGGCAGGCCTTCCCTGTGCACAATCAAAAATGAACAGCAATTTACATGGATATAGCAGGCTACATTTGTGTAAAATAGTGCAAATACTAATTAGTACAATTTTAATACATTTTAAAGGATGTTGCAACTGTTCCTGGATACTGTTGCAACTGTCCTCAGTTATGGGGACAGTTATAACACCTGACTTCTCTTCAAATATAAATGTTATTATATTTATACATATTTTAATAATGTGGGTAATAGATTGACATATGTGGGTTTTACATATAAAAATCAAAAGAAATGCATCAAGCAAGGAGCACTATGAGAGTGGGTGGCTTTTGGCAGGAAGACACCCCAGAAACACTAATGGTGCTTTTCCACTGCCACCAAGAGCCATGGTGGTATCAGGCAGCTGAGTGAAGGTATTTGGGAGCTATTGTAATCCCCCATTCACTGGGGTGTGCCGCGGTTGGCACAGGGAACACACATTACGTTTTCCACAGCATAACAACTGTACGCTACATTTAATGACGGATGCTTTCTTAAAGTTTGAAAGATTTATTTGTCACACATACTATCTTACGCAGTACAGTTTTGGCCTAAAGTTTCAAGAATGACATAAGTATTGGTTTTCACAAAGTTTGCTGCATCAGTGTTTGTCAGATGTTTCTATGGTATACTGAAGTATAATTACCAGCATGTCATAAGTGTGAAAGGCCTTTATTGACAATAACATTAAGTTTATGCAAAGAGTCAATATTTGCAGTGTTGGCCCTTCTTTTTCAAGACCTCTACAACTCGCCCTGGCATGCTGTCAATCAACTTCTGGGCCAAATCCTGACTGATGGCAGCCTATTCTTGCATAATCAATGCTTGGACTAGGTCAGAATTTGTGTGTTTTCCTCCAAAAGTCTTGGACTAACTGTGTGTGCAGATGAATTCACACCTGCCTGCTGCCATTCCTGAGCAAGCTCTGCACTGGTGGTGCCCCGATCCCACAGTCGAATCAACTTTAGGAGATGGTCCTGGTGCTTGCTGGACTTTCTTGGGTGCCCTGAAGCCTTCACAACAATTGAACCTTTCTCCTTGAAGTTCTTGATGATCTGATAAATGGTTGATTTAGGTGCAATCTTACTAGCAGCAATATCCTTGCCTGTAAAGCAATGATGACTGCACACGTTTCCTTGCAGGTAACCATGGTTAACAGAGGAAGAACAACGATTTCAAGCACCCTCCCTTTAAAGCACAGGTGTCAAACTCCAGTCCTCATTTAACACACCAGATTCAACTTCTTGTGCTAATAACCACACAGCTCTTGAGCTGAATCATTTGTGGTGGAACAGGGAAAGAACTAAGCTACACAGGGCTGTGGCCCTCCAGGACTACAGTTTGACACCCCTGTTTTAAAGCATCCAGTCTGCTATTCTAACTCAATCAGAATGACAGAATGATCTCCAGCCTTATCACTCTCACCTGTGTTAACGAGAGAATCTCTGAAATGATGTCAGAAGGTCCTTTTGTGGCAGGGCTGAAATGCAGTGGAAATGGGTTTTTTGGGATTAAGTTAATTTTCATGGCAAAGAATGACTGTAATTAATTGCAATTCATCTGATCAGTCTTCATAACATTCTGGGGTATATGCAAATTGCCATCATAAAAGGCAGAGGCAGCAGACTTTGTGAAAACCAATACTTGTGTCATTCTCAAAACTTTTGGCCACGACTATAATGTTCAGTGATAGGAGTTATTGCTTAACTGCAGACTGTGAACAGATGACATGCATATAAGGAACATAAGAATACACATATTAGACATTAAACAATAAACATAATAAACATCCGCATTGTGAGTTGAAATTGGCAGTAATGTGGCAGATAATACAAGAAAGAATAGGTATTTACATAAGTATTTATTTTTATATGTATGTAATTTATTTGATTTTCAAATTACTTGTTTAGTAATCGTGTTTTCTAAAGACGGGGTTGAGTCTTTACTATTACCGATTTTTATATTAACCTAATACGTTTACGTTACGTGAAGCGTTATTCGGTATCCGTTTATGAAGTAATACAGGAAGCATCAAAATAAGGCAGTCGCGTAACCAGCTAGCAATATTACGGATTTGAACCCTGCAAAATCTACCGAGCTGGACCTGTGCCGGACATCCCACGAAATTCAGTTCTGGTTGCGGGCCTGGATTAAAGAAAACCTCAATGCTACCGTGAAGAAACGGATACTACAAATTAGTAATAACCGTAATCCCAGATAGCGGACAGAATAGCACTTGGCTTTCCTTCATTTCCTGTCGCCCGACGAGCTTGGGGGTTTTTACTATTGACTTATTACTAAGGCCGTTTGCCTGTCTGAACCAGACTATTTTGTCTCCGGTAGTTGCATCAGACAGCGACATAGACAGCTAGCAACTTCTCGTAGGCGCGTGAGAGCAAACCGGGGTCGTGAGGTCTTGTTACGCCCTGTCACAAAGCCAATAGGAAACGTGGCTTCATTGTCCGAAGATTTTGATTGGTCGAACCCGGCTTGCGGAGTCACCCATTTATTTTCGCTATGTAAAAAGTAATTTCCTGATCTATTTCTTCGGAAAGTGCCGGCAGTTGGAGATCCTCGGGTATCAGATACTACGTTGACGTTATGGATTCCAGTAGACAGGCGGATTGTTCCAACGGCTTTCAGGAGCTATTTAAGTCCTTCGCGACAGATGCCATCCATGTGGGTCAGGAGCCGGAGCAGTGGAATTCGATGGCCGTGGTGCCCCCCATATCGCTCTCCACCACGTTTAAACAGCACGGACCCGGAGACCATGCGGTGAGTAGCATCACTGAAAGCACTTTGCCATCTTCCCGTGCTGTATAGGATAGACTGGGAAAAAGGTGGATCGATTGTTATTTCTGTTTGGTTTTGGGCCCATATATCCCTGCTTTTAAACAGCTGGCCAGCTCTATCCAGCAAAGCTGTGCCGCCAAAGCAGCGTCAGTTATTCTATGAAGATAAAGAAAAGGTTGTCAGCCTTGATTGCTCAATGCCGGTAATATTTATAAGCATTAAGAAGACATTATAGTGCGTATTATTGTTTGTAATGTGCTGTCTTTATTTAGTTTCATTTAACGTATCCAGTTTTTTATGTGTAATAATGAATATTTTACCTTTAAACATAAATAAAGTAATCAATGTGTTTTATAATGAATCTGGATACCAACAATCGCAGACCCATGGAAATAAACGGGTTTCTTGTAAATTGTTGTTTGCGAAACTTTCCAGTCTGGACTAAACAGTGGCATTACATAACGGGTCGTAACATGCCAAGTTAACTTTACTCATTATCAGAATACCTAGCATAGTGTGTTCGCCAAGTTACCCATGTACCATGGACTTGGTATAGTAAGGCGGTATCTTCTGTTAATTTTTTTTATTGAAGTTAACCATTAAATTTAGCCATAATTTGTTACTGCTTTACGTCCAGATTCAAAGCTGTTAATACAGCTTAAGTCTAAGTCAGTGGAAAAGGGAATCGGTTTCAGTTGAAATAATACAGTAATAATACGTGAATTTGTTCTGTAAAGACTATTTTAAAATGAAATGTACATTCTGGTATTAATGATTATAGGTACAATACAATGCGGTTTTTAAATAATAATCAATGACATGTGCGCTTGTGCAATGGTGTTTATCTCTTTAACAGGGTTTTGAGTACAGTCGAAGTGGAAACCCAACACGGAACTGTCTTGAGAGAGCAGTTGCTGCATTAGATGGTGCAAAGTATTGTGAGTAATTTAAGATACTATGGTGTAACATATAATAAAACCATTTCCTGAAATGTGCTAAGTAAGGCCTTATACACATGCTGCCACGAGTTACTCCTGAAGGGCAGTAACCACACATGTGTCATTTCTGATTATATTCTGCAATGTACTGTCCTTAGGAGGTGTTACTCAGCTTGATCAGCTTTTCCTCAGGTCTTTCCTTTGCCTCGGGACTGGCTGCAACAATGAACATCACACACATGCTGAAGGCTAATGATGGCATCGTGTGTATGAATGATGTCTATGGAGGTAGGTGTTTGACCAGCCAAACCTGTTCACCCAGATAGGAAATGTCAAGTCATGTGTGAAATTTATCTTCATTGCTATGCTTTTAGTAAGTTGGAAGGTAAGTGGGGGCAAATTAATATTTATTGATAGCAGAGTATTCATAAAATGCTCGTTGTGTTTCTCCAACAGGAACAAACCGATATTTCAGCAGAGTTGCTGCAGAAGTTGGCCTCAGTGTGTCATTCGCTGACTGCACGCAGCTTGACGTTCTGAGGAATGCCCTCAAGCCAAATACAAAGGTGTGTTCTTTCTTATTGTTTGTGTTCATTATGATGCTGGATCAAACTGAAGGGACAATTATGATTTAGTTGTACATCGCACTTCACTTGTATTAATCATTTAATTACAGTTTTTTTCCATTACTTCACAATATGGTAGCAAAGTAAGATTTATGATTGTTAATAGGGGTGTAATCAGGGCTGTAGCCAACTATGTTCTCTTGGGTGGAAGGGACATGCCACATCGTGTTTCAGCTGTGGCTTCTTAGGCTGCAGAAGAAGGCTGTAGTGGATGCTGTTTTTATTTATTCTTTATTTTACTTTATTTTTATTTAACCTTTATTTAACCAGGTTTGTCCCATTGAGATCACAGATCTCTTTTGCAAGGGAGACCTGGCCAAGGTAGCAGCAACACAGTGTCAGGAAGGTTCCATTCAGATACAATATCTCTTCTTCCAGGTAGTCCTGGTCAAGATGGTGTTAGGATTAAGGTTAGTATTAGGGTCTGACCAGAATGGTTTCTCACAAAAGTACAAACGGAATCAGATAGCACCACGAGACATGCTAAAACAAATAAATCCAGAACAAGAATGAGCAGGAGCTAAAAAGGATCGTGGCAAATAATAACAAATAGCCATACATAATAACGTACAAGTCAGGTACTAAACAAAGCATAGGAATTATTAACAAATGTTAAAAGCAGTCATATGTTCTATGACAACTAATTAAAAAATATACGTAAATGTATCCAGAGTGACTAAAGATTCCAGGTTCTGAGGCTCAATGTTCCGACTTTTTACAGTAAAGGCTTGGTAACACTTTATGAATTTGAATGGGAGAAATAGAGGAAGAATAAAAACTATTTCCAGTGTCACTTGATGTGGCTATACTGTCTTTATCATCTACTTGGGAGACTTAATAGAGTGGTTAAGCCAGCATTGATAAAGTGCGTATTAAAAGCATCTGCTATGTTATGTTTACACTTGATTTCACCTCATTTTACCTTGAGTATATCAGGAAGAGTTGGGGGTGTCATAGACCCAGATGATGATGAATTAACTTCCAAAATTTTACCTGGATCACGGTTATCTTATTAAGTTAAGGTAGTACAGTGGTTCCTTGGTTTGCGAGCATAATTCGTTCCGGAAACGTGCTTATAATCCAAAGCACTCGTATATCAAAGCGAATTTTCCCATTAGAAATAATGGAAACTCAGATGATTCGTTCCACAACCCAAAAATATTCATATAAAAATGATTAATACAAAATATAAAGTAAAAATACATAAAACAAATTAACCTGCACTTTGAAAAGAATCGTGGATGGTGTGAGTGAGACGAGAGAGAGGAGAAGAGGAGGGTTATTTTGTAGGACGACTTTCACTATAACTAACAGAATCACTGCTATCTGTTGGCTCACTGGAATCATTTTCTTTTTGTGCGACTTTAACAAGGAATCTATCCAATGACAGCCGTTTTTGCCTCCTTTTCGATTTCGCGGAAATGTGGACATTGCATTGTCGTTAAACAGATTCATCACTCGCACTCATTAACTAGGGCCAAGAAGGTTGATTTAAGATAATTCCGAGCCAAATCAACATCCGCCATTTCAAAGACAAGGTCACTATTCACTATTATACAGATCATACAAAAAGGCTTGTTTATGCAGCATTGGGTAGTTTGAAGTTTTTAACACATGCAACTGTACAATGGTCACTAACATCATTGCTGGATATTCCAACTGCAGGATATTTATGTGGAGAATGTAAACATCCCAGTTTTTTGAGTTTGAGCAAGATGAAGAATTAATAAGTTGCGACAGGTTTAGAGCATCACAGATGCCCTTAAGTGAATCTGAGGATGTGGATAGCCAGCCCCAATTTAGATCGCCCAATAAAACATACTTATTGTCTTATAACTTACATGAGGTCTGAAAGCAGTCTGACAGCTTCCTGTGATGCTGATGGTGTGTGACACCATCCTACTATTGTCAGGTCAGAGCCATTGGGGAGATGTAACATAATTATAGACACTTCAAAGCATTTTGGTTTACTGATCGAATTGCTGCAGGAACAATTCAAAGTTGCTTTGGCATAGATCTCAGTTCTCCCTCTGCTTATGTGATCTTCCCTGTAGACATTGTATCCATCGATATAGGCTATATGGACAAAAGTATTGGGACACCTGGCCATTACACCTACGGGAACTTTTATGACACCCATAGGCATCAATATGGAGTTGGTCCCCCCTCTGCAGCTATAACAGCTGCCGCTCTTCTGGGAAGGCTTTCCACAGGATTTTGGAGAGTGTCTGTGGGATTTTTTTCCCAATTTATCCAGAAGAGAATTTGTGAAGTCAAGCACTGATGTTAGACATGAAGGCCTGGCTCGCAGTCTCTGTTCTAGTTCATCCCTAAGGTGTGCGATGGGGAGGAGATCTTGGCTCTGAGTGGGCCAGTCAAGTTCTTCCACATCAAATGAAGCTGTTGTCCAAGAATGAATCAAAGCAAGACCAGATGAACCTTGTTATTGAAATATTTTTTAAAACTGATGCCATTACTTTGTAATGTTATCTTATGATTATAGTGATGTGTTTTATGCAGCCAAATTGCACATTTTGAGCAGCTGAAATGAATAAATGCTGCTTTCTCTGAGGAATTTCTGTGTTTTTTAATCAAATGTAGATTTACCCAGCAATCATGAAAATAATAGCAGATTTGAATTCTTCACATCCAAAAACATATCTAAACACATTTAAAACCCCAGACTGGAGAAATTTACAAAAAAATAATTTTCACCTTTTTCAGTCAGAGCTATAGCCAAATAATTGAAAGAGACTATACTGTGTCTTTTTAGGCAATGAAATACTCTCCAAAAATGTACTTTATTTTAGCCAATCAAACAATATCATGACAAGGCACACTCTTGTAACTTCACATTGGATGGCGAAACAGATGAGGAGGACAATGACTGGCTACAATATAAATAATCTAGCCAAAAAATAAAGTCAATACAACAAAGAATGGGAACAGAATGTTGTCAAAACCATGATTGATGGAATCTGTATTAGTAAAAGTACCATTGCAGACTAAAGATTGTGTAGTTTTTAGGTGGCTTAAGTATACAAGTACAGGCTACTTGTTACAATACATTTTTAAACTATTTATGTAAAAACCAATGGTGTAAGGCATGGGGTCATAAGTAATAGAATAAGCCATTTTATTATAGAGTAAATAATCAAGTATCAGCGTATTCATATACAAATAAATTGAATTGAATTGTATTCAAGATATTGGAGATCACACTGCCATTAAAATTTCCTTATCAAACAGACCTAAACAAACCTTGGAAATGGTGTCGCTATGTTCAATATATAATAATTAGAGATGCACCGATTGCAAATTTCTTGGCCGATTTCCGATTTTACAGTAAGTGTGGCCTGCCGATTCCGATTTTTGCCGATTCCAATTTTTTTAAAGAACTGTAATGAAAGCATATGACATTCATTTAAATTTATTTTATAATAAAATAAATTATTAAAACATGACAGGATCTTCTCACAACAAAATAAAAATATAAAATAAAGTGTGTTGTAAGGTATAAAATAAATTCCGGTATATAACATTAGTATAGTTATACTAACAAAAATCTTTTCCCCAATGAAATTTTTTATAATAAAAGAAATCCATAAACATTACAGATCTTCTCACAACAGAATAAAGTGCTCTGCACCTTGAAAATGTAGAAATATATAACTAACAACTTACTAACAAATATCTACTTTTCCTCAATGACTATTATTATGGAAGAATTTTTTAAACATTAATTACATGTAATTACTCTCACAACAATAACTTTAATAACAAAGAGTGCATTCTCTTAAAACAGGTAGAAATAACAATGCTAGTACTAAATGCTATTACTTGAACATTAAAGGCAAGTTTTTCTTGACCAAGAGAAGCATTTCTGCAGTTAATCGGTTTCTCCTTTCATCTACCACATGTCCAGCCAAGCTAAACAAGCGCTCACTTTCGACACTTGTACATGGAGCAGAGAGATAGGCTTGGGCAAGTTGAGCAAGTGCAGGGTAACGATCTTTGTTGATCCTCCAGTAGGTCAAAGCATTTTCGCCTCTGCTGCTGGGCAACTCGGGGCGCTAGCTTTAGCCACTTTCCCCTTTTCAAACTGGGCATATTCAGCTAAATGATAGCGTTTTAAGTGTCTTATTAGGTTTGTTGTTCTGAACGTTTTTGAGCTTGTTCCCCCACGATGTATTTTTGCTTTACAAACGTTACAAACCGCGATCTTTGTGTCATCTCCACTCACAGAAAAGAACTTCCACACCAACGACATGTTATCACCAGACTGTGAGTGTGCGCGTAGTTGTGACGTAATTGCCTGCGCTGCTGCTGTCAATAAAAGGATCGGCCGGCAGACGTGAGACTGACCAGCCGGTCACCGATCTGGGTCGATCATACAAAAAATCGGCCGATTCCGATCACTAGCTGGTCAATCGGTGCATCTCTAATAATAATATATAGCAATAACAGCATCATAATCATGATGAATTAATTTCCATGTTCTCTGCTACATATTATGGTCACATATCTGTAGCAATAAATACCTGTACAGCCCTAGTTATTTCTTTTTTATTTGTTCCGAATTTCCCGGAAATCGCCTGAGACGCCGTGGGGAGTTTGACTTACAGAGGCTGTTTGTACCTTGCTCTGCTCGTACATACATTCAAATGGTGTCTCAAATGAGTCCATTTCCAGCAATATATCCAAGTTCAGTATAACCAGGCTGACAGACAGTCTTGATCTTAAAACTACTCTCTCTCCAGTGCTGGTGTAATATATTGGGAGAATAAAATATGCCCAAGTGACCGATTATGACTGACTCTAACAAGCATTAGCCTTAACTAATTCACCATCACAATTAGCATTATGTTTCCATCTTGGAAATCTACTTGTGAATCTAGGTTCCACCAGTGTCAATACATGTATTCATTTGTTTCATTGTGTGTACTGAATCGAAAATGACTTACCAAACATCACATGACAAACATGTGCCTTAGTGGTTAATAATATCAGCTTTTGTCCGATGATTAATAAAGCAAAAGTTATCAGATCTACTTCATTTTCATCCAGAATGTTTTTTTCAGGGCTCTGAATACTGTAGGTTGTTCTTTTTTGGAATAGAATATTTTTATAATTTAAATTGGAATAAATCACTGTATGCATCCCTTTTCAACACATTTGCTTTATTGGATAGGGCTCCAAGCAGTGTAAAAAAGTATGATCCCAATACAGATTATCTTGCTATCTCAACATTGTTAATCTACGAAACATTTAAAAGATAAAATGTAATGTTATATAGATCCTAGAATTCCTAGATGGCACAAGCTCCTCTACAAAGAAAATGTAAATATGTTGTAGCTGCTCTGGATTGAGACTCCGACAAACCCGATGATGAAAGTGGTGGACATCGAGGCCTGCTCTAAGATTGCTCATGAATACAGCAAGGACATTATCGTGGTGGTGGACAACACGTTCATGTCATCTTACTTTCAGGTGAGCTTCTTGATGTTCAAGCACCATTTCTAGTATTCTGTGATTATTCTCGTACATTGAATCTGTATTTTTGCAATGTTTTTCCATGTGTATTATAATTTTTTCTTTCCAATCTATAAGGCATACTAACTAATGTGGATGTAGAGCAGGGGTAGGTCACCCAGATCCTGGAGTGCTGATATCCAGCAGGATTTCCATCCTACCTGATGAGTCACTATCTACCTGAGATCAGGTGTGGTTCATCAGAGACCAGGTGGTATAGCAAACCTGCTGGATCCCAGCACTCCAGGATCAGGGCTGCCTACCCCTGCTGTAGAGTTGTTGTCATTCATGTTGGTTTGGTGTTCTCAGCGCCCCCTAGCACTTGGAGCCGATATCTGCATGTACTCTGCCACCAAGTACATGAATGGTAAGTGCGTAGTTTCCATAGATTTGTTGCCGGAATATCCCGGGTGATTGATTTGGTGCTAAACTGGAGGTATTGGGAATAACCTGCAGTGTTTTTTTTTCTTTACATGTTGGTATTAACAGGCCACAGCGATGTTGTTATGGGGCTTGCGTCGGTAAATCGTGACGACCTGTACGAGCGTCTGAAATATTTGCAAAATGGTAAGCAATACTGATTGTATGTTTTTGTGTATACATATACATTCTCTGGGGGGTGCATTCTGTACGTTTTACATAATTTTAATCGACATTAATTTACGTAATATGTTTTTATATTGACTGAATTGACTGTAACACCGACTTCTAAAAACAATTATGCTAATCAGTTGCATTACTATCCAGACACATTTTTTGCAGCACGTCAGCTGTTATTGATTGCTTTTGTGCTTTCTTATACACTCACAAAGATTACATTGGGTTTCTTTAGTATGAATTACTCTATGGCCTCCCCCCCCCCCTTCTTGGCAGCCATTGGCGCAGTCCCTTCCCCCTTCGACTGCTACCTGTGTAACCGCGGGCTGAAGACCCTTCACCTGCGCATGCAGCAGCACTTCAGGAACGGCATGGCAGCAGCCCGGTTCTTAGAGGCCGACCCGCGAGTGGAGAAGGTTATATTTCCAGGTGAGCGGATGTCGGAACCTACAGCTGGAGGGTCCAGACTGGCTCCGCTGCTTTGGCGTGTCTGATTTACTCAGGCCTATTCCACTCCATAGGGCTGCCTTCCCACCCCCAGCACGAGCTGATGAAGAAGCAATGCACCGGCTGTCCTGGCATGATCACCTTCTACATCAAGGGCACCTTGGAGCACGCCACCGCCTTCCTCCGCAACCTCAAGGTGCCTGTAACAGGAGAGCGTTACTATGCCTGTACGACGTCCGCACCGGCCGTGGCATGTGTGTGAGGGATGTGGAGACCTGTGTCAGCACGGAAGGCCCTGTGTTGGCCATGCATTTAGACGGTTGGCTCCTCTCTATGTATAGAGTCTGCTAGCTTCTTTGCATAACAGTGTCTGTGCTTAGGTCATAAAACTATGAAAAAGGTGTATTCTTATATATTATCTTAATAACTACTGTACTAGAGTAAGACAAAAATTTACAACCGAGATAAGGTCTTCAAAGTCAAGAGATACAACTGATTACGTTAACAGCAGTCTCTAGGTTATTGATTGTCAGAATCCTTCTTTTAATTACTTAAATATGCAAAATTATTTGTAAGTTGTTTTTTTGTGGGGCGTTTGAATATACTTTTGATAGTTTAGTTTGATTAATCTGTCTGTTTATTTAAATTTGTAGCTGTTTTCCCTCGCTGAGAGTCTTGGGGGTTACGAAAGCCTTGCAGAGCACCCGTAAGTTGGCCGTGAAGCACACCACACGTCTTATATTTAAACCGTTTCTGGGACGTCTGTTCCAATTAAGCTATTTATTTTATTCTAAAAGAATGGAGGCCCATTTACATTTCATATTTAATGAATGATTTAGTGTCACTCCTATTACCCAAACCTCAGTACATTCGATGTAGCAGTGAAATGAAAGGGCAGGTGTGGGAAGTTTTCTTGGTTTATAATGAGTTGGTGATTTTCTCCCAAAACAGTCATTGTGTTGTTCCATCACTTTGTTGTTCCATCAAACCATATTAGTTACAGCCCCTGGGCTTTTGTGACAAAGAGCCTTTGTGATGGTCTTTATCACGAAAAAGATCCAGCCAGCAGCTTGGTTCCTATATGAGGACAATATTTTATGGCGTAATTGGACTAACAATCAAACTGAAGTATAAGCATGAGTATGTAACCGTAAGATAAGGCGCCCATGCAACTTATCAGCAGAGGGCAAGGCTGTGAGCAGAGAGAAATTATTTCTCAGGGCAGATATAGGGCCCACTGAGCGCGGGCAGATTGCTGCATAATTCAGGGACACAACTCATGAACTTAGACTCATGTGGTTTGTATGGCACCTGGGCCTGATTTACAACAAGGCGAAACACCATAACCTCCCAATCTAGGCTGGGAGCTGAAGACACCACTAAGAAAGACACTTTCTTGTAGCACTTATCTTAAGGTACATAGATACTACAGAATTACACCCAGCAGAGATAATGCATTCCAGCTGTGTTAACGAACATTTCTTAGTCTTCACAAATTTATTCCACGTTCTTCTTTGTATTTCAGTGCTACTGAACTGCAAGGTCAACAGTAATTTAGTTTCAAAGCTCAGTTAATTATTTATTCATCATCGGTACACATTAATCAGTTAAGTTCTGCAGAACATTGATTACATCTAAAGAAAATTATTATGGGGTTGGTATTAGCCTAGTTTGAAATGATAGTGTTTGTCTTTTGAGTGGGAATAGATAACGGGGAAATATTAATGAAATGTAAAAAGGGAGATTTTAAGTAAAATGTTGTTGTTTTAAAGTTATGCGTAGCAAATGATTGGTGAAAGCAAGGCATTGTGAACTGCAGTACCATGAATGGCCACATGAGGGTCCACATATCCAAAGACCTATAATGCTTGTGCCTTAATAGGGTCATGTTAAGTCTGGAGCCTATTGCAGAATGGGACACTTGATGAGATGCCAGATCATTGAAGGTCATGAATTGGCACCCGTGATTATACAATAAAGGCAACTCAGTGACACCTGTTCAGCTAATTGCTTATTTTTTAATTGTGGGAGGAAACATGGCCGAACTCTGGGATTATGCAAACAGAATCTGCAGGCCAGCAGGTGTGAGGCTCCAGGTGACTCATTAACTGGAGAATGTGAAGCTAGAAGTATTTCTGCTGATAACGTGTAAAGGCAGTGCGTGGGCTACTGTGCGAGGCGTAATCTTATCTGTTGTCATGTAGATACTGTGTTCCTATAGTCATTTTATGTGGATAATACAGTGTTATAGAAAAGCAAGCAAAGTATTTTCTAAAAAAAACGAAGAGGCTGCTATTCCGAGCCATTAACCCTGTTAGGGAGACGTCAGAAAAGGAAAACATTCAGTCCTGTGGAAAAACATGTTATGGCTCCTATTGCTCACAGGACATGTTGAAACCTTTTTAAATCCAATTGTTGTTGTTCCAGAGCTCTTAAGCTTTTCCCTGCTTATATGTGTTTTCAGTGCGATCATGACGCACGCCTCAGTGCCTGAGGGTGACCGGGCCCTTCTGGGCATCAGTGACACACTCATCCGCCTGTCCGTGGGACTGGAGGATGAGGAGGACATCATTAGGGACCTGGACTACGCTCTCAGTAAAGCCGTACGTATCTGTGGTCTCACTTTGTACACAGGCACCATCTTTGGAAAATAAATCAATAATAATCACTCACACAGTGGTAATTTTTTGTGTAATATTGGGCCAGCTCCCAATTGTGTTGATCATTGGGCCTGTATATTCAAGTAGGAATATTTCTGCACTGTTAAACAATTATAATAAACAATGATAGACCTGCAGATGACTCTGTGACTGAATATTCAGATTTATACTTATTTCTACTGGCATGTTGAATAGATCAATATACAAATTAGATTACTGTCATGAAAATAGGAATTTTGAACATTTTATACACATTTACTTTCACAGTTGCTAATTTAATTGCCTGCACTTCAGTTTTCAAAATATGAACTGCAAATTTACAACCCTAAGTTGTTGATTCCATATAGATTTAGGTGAGATAGAGACTACAGGGGTGCCACTGGATATTTTGGACCACAGGAAAACATATCATATTGGGCCCCCGACCCAGATCAATCCAATTATGTTCCAAGCTGTCACTCAGCTGTCTTGGTTGTGATCTTGATCTTTTGCTATGTTTACATTTTTCAGATAGTTCAATTGCTTCACTGGTTAATTTAGTTTGTTATAACGAATTATTAAAATGATAAGATGGTAATTTGACAGTTTAATTGAACTAAATATCTGTTTACTTTTAAATGGACTGTCCCTCCAGTAAAGTTGTGTGTTTTGTCTTTTCTTTCCTTACATTTACAGCATCCTCAGGCAAAATAGGATCTTCGCAATCTTTGTCCATCAGTCAACTTTTACGACAGCAGTTAAACCAATTGGCCCCAAGACTGCATCATAATACTCTAATTGGTACATTTTAATATCAGAGAACAATGTTGTATCTCTCTGAAATAAGAAATATGTAATTAATATTTCAAAATGTAAAATATTTTAATGAGCTGATTGTGGGTATTTTATAAATTAAATTCTGCACACTTGCCCCTGTGGTTTTGTCTGATGACTTGCTTCCTGCAATGAAGAGCATCACAACAGACACACAATGAAGTCCCTGCACTGCCGGTTGAGATGGTCACATTTTTAATTCTGAGGCTTTTTATTGACTGGGTGGCTTTGAATATATTTACCGCTTTTCAGTGGTTGAATTATGTGGGGAATGAAAGCCACTATCAAATGATTCTGGAAAAATGATCACTTTATGAGAACTACAGCAAAGGATCTGATGTTAAATTGCATTAAAGGATATTTTTTGTGCAGCATCTACAAAAAGCTACAGATTGAGGTACAAGTATTTTATTTTGGAGCCACTAATTACTTAATCACTGTGTCCAGGAAATAAAAATGAAAATTGCTTTAAATCGGCACGAACATCGTCACGCCCTAAAAATGTTCTTCTGTAACAATGCAGAACAAACTGCAGCAGCATACAGCAGGTTGGTGTTGATAAAATATCCTGTATTGCACCAGTTCACATAGATCACACAGCTAATAACAGGAATCAGACACAGACCACTGGGGGTGTGAGGCTACACAACTCACAGCCATCGTGCCCCCCGATGTGAAATGTCCACTGTGCAGCTTAACATGGAAAAGGTGGTTAACTTGGGGAAAAGTCATTTCCAGGTATTATTTGCTGATAAGTGGTGGTGGGGGAAAATGCATACATAACAGGTAACAAAGTTCTCTAGTGACACCACCAATGACAGTTTTAAACTGTTCATATATACACTCTATACTTGAGAGACTCTCTCAGCCCTGCTCTTCAAAACTAAGGAAATTATGGATTTGATCAACTGGTCTCTCAGCGCAATTGACACCATCTTGGATGGCGGAGACCAGCGTGGACATTAGAGGGGCTACGAAATTACAGCTTCTCACCCGGAAACCCAAACAACCCCATCCTATCTCCCCTCTGGCTCCCCCCTAATCAGCACGGGCCTTGGCCAAGGCCTCTGCTGAGCTCAACAACTCCCCCTGAAGAACAAGGCAGTGAGACTCTCTTGCATTCCTCTCCCCCAACCACAAGGACACCCTACCCCCATCCCACGCCTTCGCCGCTTCATACCCCCAGCGTGAACGAACGGGTCCTTGTACAGCACCGCCTGGCTGCAGGAACGGACGGCTGTTTGTCTATGCTGGACTACCTCCACCTCCCCATTCCCCTCCCCTGTTGCAAGTCTCGACTTTAGTGTTGTGAGATGTGGTGACTATGTGCTTATTGCTGAGGTGTTTTTTTTTTCTGTTCCTATATTGTACTCCCTACTGGAGTACAGTCTGGGGGCTGTTTTTTTTATTCACCTCCACTCTCCTCACGTAATCTTGTTTTCCTATAGTCCCCTGTCTTCCTGACCTGTCTACCCACCATAATGTTTGTGTATGTGATGTTTGTACAGTATATGTATGGTCAGGTTGATGGCCAGTTTTTTCGCTGGTACTTGTGACTAGTGACATGGTGTATTGCAACAGCAATAAAAGGTTTCATCAATCAATCAATCAATCAATCTCTTGTGTAAATAAATTATAAAGAGTTGTTGCATCTATATGCAGACAGACTGACCAGGGACACCGCCAGGGGGAGAAAGGTTAGAACGATTCTAGGGGCCCAGCACTGACATGGGGCCCTGTTAGGGGCTTTACCTTTTCGCAAAAAGGGGGGGGGGGGCAAAATTCTAATCTTTCATGGGGCCCAAGATTTCTGGCGGCGCCCCTGAGACTGACTGAGTTAAGACAGACATCACAGTCACATTAATTCATACTTATCTCCTTGGATCCAGATTTAGGAGCTGGTGTATTGATAAAAAATGTATGGGAATAACCTAGGATGAGGCACCAATCCATTGCAGGGCACACACACCATTCATGCCTACAGGGAATTTGGCAACTCCAATTAACCATTTTTGGACTTTGGTGGAAACCCCACAACAACATGGGGAGGCGCCCAAACCCCAGAACATTCACCTGAAACACATGAATGGCTGAAACACAGTCATACCAGCAGGTCTAACCCCACCCGAGCAGGCCTGCCAGTCTGTGTGCACACTGCCTCTGTCCATCCACCCAGCTCTAACCCCACTCAAATAGGCCTGCCAGTCTGTGGGCGCTGTGCCTCCTTTCTCCATCCACCCAGCTCTAACCCCACCCCAGCAGGCCTGCCGTTCTGTGAGCACAGTGCCTCCTCTGTCCATCCACACAGCCCTAACCCCACCCCAGCAGGCCTGCCGTTCTGTGAGCACACTGCCTCCTCTGTCCATCCACCCAGCTCTAACCCCACCCGAAGTGAAGTGAATAAGGCTGACTATCTTGTAGAAATGGTGTGTGTCAAAGTTTGGGATCTATTAGATGGTAAACTAACATTCGGTAATCATCCCAGTCTGTGAATTCACAGGATTCACTTTTGGCTGACTTAGCGATATCCAAGAACACAATCTGAAATCAGTTTGATCTCAGTTCGTGAATTTCAGAGCAGCTAAATCCAGCATATCACCATGTTAGGTCAATTCAGCTCAATGACTCCAGTTTAACGATGCACTTAACTTTTAGAATGCAAAGACAATGTTAGTTTGTTGTATTCAAGTCAGCTCAAGGCCTGACAGTTGCAGTACAGTATATCTGACTGATTCAGCTCAGAGGCTCAACTTATTCAGTCATTTCAAGCACTGGTAGTTTGTCTGATTGACTCAACTCAGAGGTTGCAGAGCAGTTTATCCCTTTATAATATGATTTTGCTGCTCCCCACCAGTTGAACCTATCCAAGTGATTAGTCAGATAGTTTGATTCATTAAATTGTAATACACAATATTCTTACACTAATGCTCTGGGGTTTACTAATCCTGGGCAGGAATTGCAGCAACAGAACTACCTAGGAATTTAGTAGAGTTCTAAACTTCTAAATATAATTCATGTGTTGGGTCACAACAATCACCCGCAATTCAATCAAAAGTACTGAATGTGTGCATTATTTTCAGATTTCAGATGGAAGCAATATCCAAGATCTACCCCAGGGGAAGGACTCTTCAGGCTGACAGAAAAAATTTTGTTGCCCCAATCTTGTCCACCTGAAACCTGAGTTCTGTCTTTAATAACCACATGGAAGATTGAAATATATGTGTGTTTTTTCCTTTTTGTGGCACGTGACGGGGCAGTCAGTAGCAGGTAGGCCAATAGTAACCGTGGCCACATGAGGTGCCAGTGGGATGCAGCTGAGGACCGATGATTACCCCAACCAGGAGGTGGGACATTATTCACCTGCAGGGCTTAAAGCCTGTGGTGTGAAAAGTGCATGAGGGGTATTTATCTGCACCTTTGTCTCCAGAGTTTCTTTTGCCTGCCACACTGGTAGAAGATGCAAACAGGTGGAGATGTTAGAGCTGACCTGCAGGACCTCAGCCATAATGAGGAAAATGCCTGGATGCAGAAGTCCCTAAAATGGGACTAAGAGATCTTTGCCAGCCCCTGAACAACTCAGAGATGAACAACTCTTGCTCATTTTGACTGTTACATTGAGATGCGTAAATCTAGTGGTCTCTATGGATAATTTAAGTCAAAAAGATTAATAATAATGAGCATCCATTAAATCTAGTCTAGGTAGTAAATTGATTTGAAAATACAAACACTGATGTCCTCGGGGTGCATTGCATTGAATATCATTTTTAAGGAACTAAAATAACCCAGCTAGATGTATGATATATGATAATATGTTTTAGATTGTCCCATTAACGTTACACTGTTTCAGGTGTATTGATGATGACATATTCACATGCAGGATCATGGGGTCTTTTTGTTGAAGATGGTAAGGTTACAGCTATTCTAAAATGCTATAGAAGCAAACGGGATTTGTTTTTCTCATATGTAATCGAGACTAACACAACCGACTGCACATAATGCACATATTTTGATGATGAAGTCCAGTAATTTATTCTGAGCATCTGTATTGGTTCGTATGCTAAAAGTTATATGCTAAGCATTTATTTGCACAAATTGATGAGTAGCTATCAAGTTGACCATTATTTGGTCGCTTAGCGCTACCTACTGGTTGCTAGGAAATACATTTTTTAGGCTGCTATATATAAATTTCACACAACAGTACAGGTACTTCTCGACTTATGATGGGGTTTCGTTCCGATTAATCCAATAATAAGTGGAAAATACCGTAAGTCGAATAAGAATATGACATGATAAAGAACTACTGTCACTGAATAGGTAAATAATTACTGTAACTAACTAAATACCAGTAATTGATTTGGTTTAGTTTCAACGTTGGTAGGGACCAAATCAGCTCCAAATGCCCTGACTCCCTAAATACATGCTGTATTCCTACAATGTTGGCAGGGGCACTGCCACTGAAGCCTACGCCCTTGATTAAGTGTAAATTCTTGTCCATGTAGTATGCAGAAATCTGACACTCTTCTATTGAAAATACAAAACTTGGATCTGGAGCCGAAAAACATGCACAAATAGTGCAGACAGTATCAGGTATGCAGTGTAAGAAGTAAGTGAACTAATTCAAATAATTATTTTCTGTATTGAAATATACAAATCCGAAATTAGAAACATTTCACCTGCATGCTGATTTTTAGTAAAATAACAGAAACAAATTTGTGCTGCAGGCCACTCTCATGCTCTATCATTTGAAAACTCTGCATGCATCCCTGAAGGAAATACCTTTCGCACAGCATCTGAAACAGATGTAGGGATTACATAGTTACCTAGATAAACCACTGAGGGAGAGGTACAGTTGGTGTAGTGGGAAATAATTATTACCCATCCAGAGAACACTTGTACTTCAGTTTGTTGATGAGGACCATTACAGCCCAGTGAGCTTGAAAAAGAAAAGAAAAAGCAGAAAATTTGTAAGAAAAATAACACACATAGTAAAATATTTTAGCTCCTGTTGAGGAAAACAGTTATGTATAAACAGTAAATGAAAGATAAATGACTGTGCTAAGATGGAAGACAGTAAAGAATAACTCCTGTAAGCACGTATTGAAAAGAAATCCAACCACACAGAGGGTTTTCAATGACGTCACACCTCCTCAGATGAACTGAGTGGCAAAATGTGCTGCAAGAAGAGAAACCAACGATTTTCTGCTTAAATCAAAGACAGCTGGACTTGACAGGGATCCACACAACTTACCAAAGGACCAGTGGACCAAGGATATTGATGTGGCCAGGAATCAGGTTTCCTGACTTTTATATGTCCCTGATTTTGGCACCAGGAAAATACACAAAGTATATACCTGAATAGCTGAAGGTGGGATTGTTTGACAAAATTAAAGTGAGGAGGACACCAATGGATATTTTGCTTGTATGCGGACAGGTTTATACAGATATTTATTTGGTAAACTGTAAGATCAGGGCTAAGTCAAGTTTACCTGGGGCTTGACTTATTTTTTTTTGAAGGAAGATTGGCATCAGGGCTAAAACATTTGGGGCTATAATCCCATGAGCTAGGCCTACTTTGTTCAACACTGCCATACACTAATGTTATATATTGGTGCAGGTAAAACTCAGCCAGAGAATGAGCCCCCACTGAAACCTTGGATAGTTGCAGTTAAGATAGGGACAGTTTTGACAGCGCATTGTACATATATGGCAGGACTTTGAGAAACAGGATGGGCGCTGACAAGCTGTGTATTTTATTGCCATGACAATGGCTTCAAGCAATACGAACAAAAACAATCTGCTGCTCTACTCTGTCTTTGATAGAAATTCTTTACATGTGAGTTGGAAATGTGTGAGAACGCAGAGTAGAAAGGTTTTGAATCCAGTGGAGGAGAATGTGGCCAAAATGAGGCCATGAAAGTCATGGTGCTGTGATATGCCTAAACCTACAGAAAATGAAATTGTGAAGTTTCATAAGATCAAGTCTGCAAACCCCCGAGCTGCCGTGCTCTCTGCAGATCCAAAACATTCCAAACAAAGACAAAGACTTTGGCACCATTACACCATTAGGACTTTATGATTGTTGAATAGAAGACAAAGGGACAGGCTTCAAGGCTGTAATACACCTACAGATGTGGCAGGATAACTGCTTCCAAATTTGGTGTGGTTACGAAAAGCATCGATAGTCAACCCTCTGAATCACTCGTGAAAGCTATATGTTACTCAGTCGGAAAAGTTTACAATTGCAGCAGCAAGGTATTACTTATTCACTTTAAGTTTGAAGGCTAATTATTGAGTTTGAAAGTCAAAAGCAGGAGGGTTGGGGAGTGTTAAATATTCTCATGAAAACCTGTTGCATAATAATTATGGACAGTGTACTTATGCACCAAATTTAACAATGTTTTACTAAATATTTCGAGGTTGGGCATTCAGCAGGAGACCAAGGCAAAGGAGGCATACATCAAGATCATGCCATTAAAATGACTCAGTTTTGATGTAACTGCCATTGTACTCTACATTTCTCTGCAGGACCCTCATCTCAGCGCATCACCTGATGGGAAGGTGTCCTGTGACTGTGTGGCTCTGAGGTGCTTGGAGATCAAATGTCCCTACTTGGGAAAGACAAGCCACTGTAAGAACGGTCAAAAAAAACAGACTTTTGTTTGGTTCCATTCTCATTCTCAGATGTGACACTGGAATTTAAAATGACACAACTATTACTTGAGTACAGTGCCAGATTCATGTTACAGAATCAGCATTCTGTGGCTTTTGTGTGTGGACACCATCCAATTTTGAAAGATATATTATTAAGATGACAAAGTTTTTCATGTATTGTCAGGAAAATGGTTTTACATGAAATGTAGTACTGAATCTTAGTGAACCATCTAGGTCTGTAGGTCTGTTTCCTAGATAAGAAAACAGAACCAAGAAAATAACCGTTTGTGGTTTCAAATGGGAAATAAATTCCACCTTGCCCACAGTGGAGATCTGAAAGTCAAGTTGAAGCTGAGTCCCACAGCTGAGTTACTGTATGACTGGGGGACAATACTGTGGGTGAATGGCTGGACATTGTGAAAAGCTGCAAGTTACTCGATGCTACTTATGTACTGTTACCTGGTATGTGTCCAGCTCACATGTAAAGGACCGATTTATGACACTTTTCATAGAATCAAACATCTTTTTACTAGACAATAAAATGCAATTAGGGATTCAGTCTATCCCCAGTGCGTGAAACCTTTACATCGCTGTTCTAAAACCAAGGTTTTACGGTCTTTTCCATGTCAAGTTGTCTTCTTTTCATCTTGTAGTCTTTATATTTTATATGAAATATATCCATATAAAATGTCGGGCTTAATACATTACTGTGAAATAACTAAATATAACACAGAATATTTACAAAATGTACATTTTGACGAATTTTATTGATGAATATCATGTCTATGGTTAAAAATCCCCTTTTAGACTGACCATTCTTCCCACTGTGTATTATTCATGAAAACCATGGTTAAAAATTCTGTTATAGCCTGACATTGTCTTTAGTATCAAGTCAGGATAACATGGGCTATTTGAAAAACATTTTACATGAACTAATATTCACTTCATCAATCAGAAGGCACTACGGTTTGACAGAGATTACACAGAGCACAACATGTTAACACTATCTTGTCAATAAGGCTATCCTCCACTTTACCATTTTGTTCCACTCTAATGAGGTTTACAGGCAGAGTTGAGCCTAGAATTGTATATTTTTGCCTCAACACTCCAATCACTCTTTTAACATGATTTCTCACAACAGAAATTTCTCGAGCAGATTTAATATCTTTGCGGCTAAGCCGTTTCTTCCCTCGCATGGATGGAGGTGTTACTAATTCTGCACAAAACAAGTCAACACTATCCTCCATGGTGAAATCCCGTTCAGCCAGTACCAAGTCCCCTGGCAGGAGCTGTTCAAGGAACCCACTGTATTTGGTAAGGTGTTTGTCTGTGAAACGTCCACCCCAGGCCTTTGACACAAAGGAGATGGTACCCTGTGGGGTGATTGAAATAAGAAACTTCAGAGTGTTGTTTTGTTTGTAGATGCTCCATGTTTGACCTTGAGCTTTTAAATCTGAAGGACACTCTATGAAAACCTCAAAGCAGTCAATTATGCTTACACAGTTCTTAAAAAATGTCTGAAAACATATTGGTAAGCTGTGTCTTACGTCTTCTCTTTTCGGCCACAATATTAGGGGCTGAAGCTTGTTTGCCATGACATGTATCCAATGGAGAAAGATTCTAGATACTGTTGACTGATTAATCCCAAAGAGGTGACCTAAGAATTCCTCAGACAGATTGAGGCGCAGTTTCATCAATGTAAGGAGAAGCTCCCAAGTAGGCTTGTTCTGTTCTGCAGTAGCAGGAGGAACTGATGACACATTGCTGAACAATAACATGAAAGTCTGTAAGTTGGGTAGTCCGGTGAAATATTTCATTTTGTCGTCATCAAATTGTGAAGCATCAAGAGTACAAAACTTCAACTCACTTTCTAATTTGTGAACTTTATCTCTCAGTGATTGACATTTGGTGCTTAAAGATTTAATCTGTTCGTGTAATGAGGTAATGTCATTGTGTCTCTCCTCTGTCTGGACCTCAAGGCTTTGGATTTCAACAACCTGTACTTCTGCTTCTGAGGTAGGACTTTGATGCAGGTTCAGGAGAGCTGTGGCAGCTAGCTCTTTACATGCGTTGACATGTCTTTTCTCAGAAACTTCTTGAGATTGTATATGTCTTTCCAGGTTGTTGACAGCCCAAGTCTGATCAGTGGTGGAGGTGAAACTGAAAAGACTTGGCACAAAGTCAGGGTGTAGGGGATCATCTCTCTTTTTTCCTAAAAGAAACAAAATGCTTTACTAGTAATGCAATATTAATTTACTTACATTGCCACACAAGAAATACACATAGGTTCATCATTACTACAGAACATTTAACTTGTGTACCTGGGGTATTCCACAAAACAGGACTATGAAAGTAGCCTAGGAGTGTAATTCCACCACCCATTAGGCTAATAATAAATAAAATGTCAACATATTTTATAGAAACTTTAAGTAGGTCCTTATAAGGAAACCTGGGTTTGTCTTGGCTAGCTAACCATTCCACACTTTGTAGAACACAAAGCTCATCATCATGGTTATTTTTAATAAATGCTGACAAAAACTTCACAGTTACACACACTATAAATGAATGATGTTATTTAATTTAGTCAATACAGCATGGTATGATTTCACCCAAAAATCCAACATACCTGACATGGAATGACAACCGGAAATCCACATCTCGGGGCCTGGATTCCAGGCGTCTCCGTGGATTACAGCAATCCATTCATTTTCTTGAGTTTTTGGCAGCCTGTAAAAAAAATAGCCCCAATGTCTTGTTAAATCGATTTATAGTTGTTTAGCAACTCTTTCCCATATCAGATATTTCTCCAGCGTCCAACCTGAACGCTACACACTGCCTCTGTCTTTGTGTCACTCAGTGGGTGTAACCACAGTAACTTCCATGTACTGTGAAGCCAAAAACCTAACCTCTACAGTGGTACCTACACTCCAATCAATGACTCTGTTAAATTGGTCCATATTAAAATCACAAAAAGGCCAAACATAAAACTGCTTACTAGCAGTAATAAACAAAATGCAATATCATTTTAACCCTTTTAACCAAAAGCCAAAATATGTCTTTATCTGCCTGTTGGAGGCAAATATACATTTCTAAATGGGAATATGCCATACATACAATAAAGTGTGTACTGTTAGCTATGTACAGAGACTCGCATCATTTTTACCTTTTGCAACAATGGCGGGTCATGGAGCCCCTCCCCCTAACTTAGCAAACTTAGCGAACATTAACAGATAACTGCTTAAGCTGGGATACTCTATAAAGTTAGCAACACACAGCATTAACCACAAACAGTCTATTAATTGTAAATTCCATTCTCTAATGCTATTTCATACAATGTTGTGTAAGTAGAGAAAAAGGGTTGTAAATGTGAAATTTTATTGCAGAGTGGCGAGAGTTAAATACTAATTAAATATAACACTGGAGCATGTGATTGTACAGTGGTGGGTAGAAGGAGTGAAATTAAGGTGTGCATTTTTGAGTTTGAGCTGAAGTTACACAATAATAAGGAAGACAGCTATTTTTGTGGTACTGCTCTTTATATGGATTTAGAAGTGCACATTCTGGACTTCTACACAGTAATAAACAGTATACGAAAACGGAACTTATGGGGTGAGTGTTTCTGGGCTTTACCTTTCTGTATTATGATGCAGCTCAGCTAATTTTGGATTCACGGCATCCAAGGGAAGTTGGAGGACCTAAGTGAGATTGAAAACACAAGGTAAGTTTAAAATAGGCCATCAATTCTGAAAAATGAATCAAATTAGGCTAAACAGGAATCAAACTAAAAATAAGATACTACTGCTTTATATAAGTAATCATACTGAACATGTATTATGTTTCTGTATAAGTCATCTTGTACATGTATATTATTAACCTACCGTAGGAGCACTGGGTGCTGCGGGGTGGAGGAGCAGTGATGCTGCAGGACTGTTATGTGACAGAGCATCAGTGCTACTGCTGCTCAGGAATGCTGAGTGGATCATAGAGAGATTGAAAACACAACAGGGTATGTTTCAAATAAGCCAGCAATAAGGAATCAAAGTAATTGTGTACTTTACTGCCACATCACATAAGGAATCATATTAAGCATTGATAATTATATAAGTAATCATGCTGAATATGAAATACATCATTGCCAATAACATAAGTTATTTTGAGAAACTATATTGCAGTGATGCTGCGTGTGAGGAATGCTGTAGGGTGATGATCAATGATGTTACAGGTCAGGAGTGGTGAATTAAGAGGTCATTTACCTGTGCTACCTTTAACACTATAGCTGTGCTCAACAGCTATGTGCTTTACATTTACAAGTAGAGGGGTGCATTGTAGTATAGGGGCTCTCTTCTTTTTGACCACACGGCGATGCACAAAGATGGTGGGAATAGCATCTGCTCTCAGTCTAGTCTTGCCCTTTTTGGTCTTCACAAATTGGTCTGCATGAAAATGTTCCTGCAGAAAGACTTAAGTTTAATTCTAACACACAACTTAGTTTTGTCATCCCACAAAAATATTCCATAGTGGTCAAATGCACAGCATTAGGGAGCACTTTATACCTACTGGACATGTAAACCTTTCTACATAAGTAAAAGACAACCAAGAACATATTAATATAAATTCATAACACATCAGTAACTAATGTCACTTGTCATTCTTTGTTAAACACCATCAGCAGCAAAAGTTGTTGATAATCACAAGTTGTGAGGAGCAAAGACTACATCTTATTTCCCAAATCAATTACCCATCCAAGCCTATGTAGGTGTACCTAACCCTAACCCTCTGCCTTTTTCTCCCTCTCTCACACACTAACAGCAGAGGAGCCACAGGGGGAATTCAATGGAGCTTGAATACCTCCTGCAGTTAGACATCATCCTCACCCTACACCCCTGAGTCTTAACCCTCTGGATTTTGCACGTCTTTCCCTGTTCCTTATTTTTAAATAAACTAAATATTGAGTTTCCCAATGATGTGAAAAAGTGTAAATGCAGTGTTTGAATATGATTACCTGACATAGTTTTTTGTTGTTGTAATCATTCGTTATAGTGAAATTTCTCCTGCGGACTTGAGCCAACCATTTTTTTCTCCTCTTCGTGTCACTGGGGAAACCATACATTTTTACTCCTTTCTCTGAGCGATTGGAGCATCCCCATGCCGCACAGCAAACCATGGTGGAGACTATATGCAAGGACAACATGGAGGAAAGGGTACAGACATACTGCATGAGATGCCTTTCGTGTTTCTGAGTAGGGCAGGGCAACATGGACCAAAAACAATATCTTGGTATTTTTAGGCAGAATAGTGATACACGATATGTTCTATGTAGTGCCCTAAATGTTCAGTTTTAAATCAAAACAACATATGAGATATCACAAACACCTATTAAAATAACGTGTGGTCAAAACAAAATGCAAATACAGGGTTTACGTCAGTGTTTACAAAGTACAATTCAATATAAACATTTTCTTTATTTCATACAGAAGTCCAGACCAAAATGAAGACAAGAATAAATTATGCCTCTATCTGTTGCATGGGTGAAATATAGCAGCTATAACTAAAAAAGCATTTCACTCCACTATGTCCACCAACAGACACCTTCTCAGTTTATGACACTGCTCTCAAAACATAACATTATTTTTTTTCTGTTCATAAACAATGGGTAATTTCATGCAAGTTCTACAGATGGCTCCCAAGTGAAAAAAATCCAGGGTTAAACATTTCCTAATAGGAAAAGTTAGTCCATCTTGAAGCTTCAATATCTCTGCAAGTAATCATGTGACTGGAGTTATCTTTCACATTTTAGCACTGTGAAATTTAAGCCCTTGTTCTTGAAAACACTTGTTTCTACAAGGGCTTAAATATACACTTGATTTGAACAACCACATACACAAATATATGAGTATTTCAAAAATAAATTAACCTTTAGCTCAGCTGTTCAATCCCAGGTGTGATGACTCTTCAGTCAATCAATCCTCTAATTAAGGAGCTGCAGTCAAAACCAGCATACAACGGCCCTTTCTGGATAAAACTGCTCTAAAAACTGAAGGCTGACATTGAAAGTGTGATTAATATCTGAAAAGATCTTCATTTAAGGTATTAGCCTTCGGCAAAATGAAACAAATATTACAAATTACGATATTTTACCTGAACCGTTTGGCAATGCTTCAAAACCAATTCAACCAAAAACAATGATCCTTGTCTGTCATCACATGAGATTGTTACGCACGGCACACACATCAAGTGAATCACGTAAAGGAGCCGGTGTTCTGTCATAAAATACTACCTATCGAGACGTGCTATCGAGCCTTTCTGCGCATGTGCAGTTCAACCGTTTTGGGATTAGGGTTAGGTTTTAGGGGTTAGGGTTAAGGTAAGGGTTTTAGGGGGTTAGGGTTAGGGCTATCGATTAGCACTACGGTAGCATTTTTCGACAATGCAGCATATATCGACAGAACACCGGCTCATACACATAACTAGTGATTAAGTCACCAAGATTACTTAGGCCCTTAGTTACCACGGGATCACTGAAACTACCATGAATTAAAAAAAAATGTTACAACATTAATCTGACCTGAATTTTGAAGCATCCCTTCCCTTCCCCTCCCTCTAAACATATCAATAAACGTCATGATATGATTGCTCTTGACTACCATGCATAACATTTTTTTCAAATTCAAAGCCATAAACCAGGGCTACCAATTCCCACGCATCTGGCGTGACACTCACGCTTTCAGACTCTCACGCTCACGCAAGAAATCTTACGGCAAATTTATATAATTCCATTATAAAACTAAAATTAGCTGCATGAAAAGCGTTGGGGTAGTTTACAAGCCCTAGAGACCATTTACAAGTTAAAACTGTTACATACAGGTAAGTAAGTGTGCAGACTTGCCTCGAACTGAAAATCTCACGCCAGCCAGCTGACCAAAGTTGGTGACACTGCACCACGCTCTTTAGTTAACTTAAGTCTAAAATATGTCAACAAGGTAGTAACCCTAGCTCTTAATAGCACCGAATTTCACTTTTTAATAAACATATTGATATAGCTATGTACACATGTCGGTGTGCTATATAAATATTGTAAATGAATATATTTATTGATAATTACCAAAAATCGCTGTTGTGTCTTTGTGTTGAACCTATATCCCCACGAAGCACTTCCTGGAACTATCCGAAATCTACGTGGACCACGTGACCATCAAGCACTGGAAAACTTCCGCTGATGCGTCACCTGACTCTCTAACCCAATCCCAAACCGGTCCCTACACACTCCGCCTCACCATTCCGCCTTCGTGAAGTGCAGCAAGGGCTAAGGGGGAGTGGACCATTTTGTTCTCCTGAAGCGAGTCCTCAGACTCCTCACGCAACTCCAGTACCACTTCAATATCCCACAACGCTTCGCATACAGGAAACAGAACAGCGCGAAAAAATGTTGAGGATGATGTATTGCCATATAAATAGGCTATGTGCCCGCACGTCTTCCGCATTCTCGTAAATCCGCAAATCAACTGTATAGACCAGGATACGCTTCACGGGAAAAACGGGGTCATTATTAATGTAGACTAAGATCTATAATGAAGTAAATTTATAGAATGTAGGCTGCATAAAATGTATTTTACAATCATTTAATATATTTTTGAATATCTAAATATTTCAGTCACGAATATAATAAAAGACATGAGCCAAAAAGACGCATATTGGCCAACTATAGTGAGTACACCCATCAGCCTATTAAATGCGTGTTACTGTAAAAACTACCGTGTTATTTAGATATTTAATAGTGGTTAATCAACTGATGCAGGCTTTTTCACTACTGAAAGCAAGCGTCATGGATTCATGCCACGTCTGTGATGATGAGTAACTTTTAAATCTAAGTCTGATGCCAAATTCACAGGCATAGAAAATAAAGTTACCCGCTTGAGCTTAAAAGACTCATCCCAGTAATTCACAGCTAATAATTCTCATGTCTTTTGACACAACATGAAGGGTTAGTGGAACACAGCTGGTCAATATATGGCAGCAGCGATGAATTTAAAATAATCCCATCACCATACATTATTTATCGCCATGCAAATCTATGGGTGGAAAACCTATTCTGAAAAATAGTGCGTGAACAGGTTTTTCAATCAGCTCTGAGTAAGTGCATCCCTTCTGCATTGGTTCTCTTTTGGTAACCTTATCCTGCCACGTAAAATTTTCCTGTACATTTATTGTTTTCTCGGTTAAGACTCAATCGCTTATAAAAATCGTTTTTAAGCAATATTATTTTTTAAATAATTTATTGTGCAGTGTTTTATTAAGGATAATCAGTGTCACCAACTTCGGTCAGTTGTCTGGCGTGAGATTTCCAATTCGAGACAAGTCTTCACCTGCATTTACATGTATGCAACAGTTCTATTAATTTGTAAATAGTCTGTAGGGTTTGCAAACTACCCCAACAACTTTGATGCAGCTAATTAAAGTTTCATAATGGAATAATATAGATTTGCCGTAAGATTCCTGGTATGAGCGTGAGTCAGAAAGCCTACCATACCAGATGCGTGAGTTGGTAACCCTGGTATAGTAAAAAAAATGTTTTTGTTAAAATGCTTAATAGTGATAAAAATGATTCGTTGCCTTCTTACTCGATTTATTTATTTATTTAAAATAAAATTTAAAAACAGTATTCGCAGCTCTTCAGCACAATACTGCTACTGACCCTGCAAACCGGAAGCTAGACTGTATAACGTCCTACGGAAGTACGTCACATCCATTGCGTGCATATAGCTTATTACACATTTAAATAAAAGTATTTAGTTAATACTTCGGAGTGTTTAAGCACACATATGAATATGACGTTTTTGAAGACAGTTTATTTTCATGAGATGAACAGGCATGTCTATTCATTACAATGCACATGAAAATAACGTTATAAATGATGTCCGCGGATGTTTCCGTCATCCGCGGTAGGGACTACTCGTGTATGTGTCACATAAAATGAACTCAAAACGTGTACAAACTTCAGATTCTTCAGTCGGTCTTATAAGACAACTTAGGCTAATCGTCATCTTCTCCCAGCGGATAATCTTGGTTTTCTAAATACTGTTAAAGTGGAACTATACCTGTACAAATACAAATACAACAATAAATTTCAGTAAATAGGGATGCTGTGTTACTCATGTAATAAACATACAAATATAATTTAGATTGTAATCTGCCTGAGACAAAAAGAAAAATTTGGTTATAATGATCATCTGCTTATAGTGACAAATTTCACTCACACAGATATGATTGCTAAAGGCGGTTTCCACTGTAAGTAATTATTATATTATTAAAGAAATGACAATACAGTTTCTTGAGGGAGCCATCTCGTCACATCACAACATAATGCATTTCCTCTTTCCTGTTTGGGCGCCAACCCTGACAAAATCCAGCTATCATAAATTGAAGAGTTTCTGACAAGACACCAGAGGTGCATGCAGTGTCATATAGAGACTGTTTGAGGAGCTGGTGCTCGGCCGGGAAGGTCCCTTTCAGTAAACGTGTGACTGTTGGTGATTGAAAACTGGCACTCGGTAATATTTGCCACTCAGGCAGGGGTGTCGGAGGTGCATGGATACCCTGACAGATTCAGGGAACCCAGCACTTCACAGGGGCTCAGAATGTCTAGCTACTCCCCTGCACTCAGGACTCAATTATTTCAATCGCTTGTGCATGGGGCAGGTGCTCAGGCACCCGCCCTCAGCCTGTCCAAGGCATGGTGGCTTTTCGTGTTGCTCCAGTACTTTTCTCTAATAACATATTGTGATCACTTGAGTGCATATGTGTTTGAAAATGATGGATAAAATTTCAATTTTTGTCATGATCTAGTTCAATTGGCAGAAATACTGAAGGCGTGAGTGTTGTAAATCATTGTAGAGTTTTTAAACATATTTAATGCTCTGCCTTGATTGAGTATAGAAGTTGATCTTGGATCAGAACATGTTGATAAAATAAAAAATCTCTCTTGGACTCCTGGGGCCTGTTTAACAAACAATTTCTTGCCTAGCTGGATAATGTATTGGATTTAAGGTAGTCTAGCTAGGTCAGGGATCGGCAACCTTCGGCTCGCTCTTTTACCACGTGACTACGGCTCTTTTCATAACGATAGACGCATTCACATTTTCATATCTTAACATATTATGATAATACTTTCATAAAGGTAAATAATTTATTCATGGGTTAATATAATTATTTTTCATTTAGATATTTCTTTAGCTATATGTGAATTAGGCAGTCCATCGCACGCTTCTGTTACGTATTATAACTGCATAATCTTCCTCAAAGTCATTCGCTAAAACGAGATTACGTCTCTGGTTAAATGGTATGCTTTCCTGAGTTTCCTTAAGCATTTGAGATTGGATGTACGCTTCAGCGTTCATTTGGCATTCCTAATTCTTTCATATACTTTTTGTAGTAAATCGTCACCACACCTTCCAAGGTCTTCGTAAAAATTATTATAGCCAGCTGAGTTGGAAGTGGTGAAAACATTTTGCACCGCTCGGCCAGCAGAGTTACGGTACTGAAGTGGGGAGCGAAGAGCAGACGACAACAGAGCCAAACAAAAGGAGGGATGGGGGTGAAGACTATCGTTACAGAACTAATCAGTGTTGAACTGTTACGCGTCCGAGTGATTTAAACCTGAGATGCCCCCCAGAAATAGTTATTCTATAATATTTTTGTAAGTACTTGAACTTTTATTTTTGTATTAAATGCATATATGCACACATATCACGTTAAAAAAATCGTATCTCAAACCCCCTT